TCTATCACAGGGTACAGGGCTGGGGGACACCCTGGGTGGGATGCCAGGACATCACAGGGCACACGCTGGATTGGATGCCAATGAATTCATTACATGTACATACAGTATATAATATAAAATATATTTGCATATATTATTCATATATACTCCAATCATTGATTCATCCATCTTCCAGCCACTTAAACAGTATAGGGTTGTGGGGTATATTTTATTTAAGATAAATATTGATGATCCCACGGGGAAATTCTTGAAAGGAGAAAGTCCCACATATCAGTCAATCAATCAATCAATCAATGTTTAATTATATAGCACTGTTTTAACTACAGGGTTTACAAAATGCTTTACAGACTTTTAAGGTAAGGAATTAGCATAAGCATAACGATTAGCATAGGCATAACTATAAGCACAGAAAAAATTAAAAAGAGAATCGGTTTTAAAAAATAAATAATAATAAAATACCACCTTTTTGGTAATCACTCACGGTCCCAGTAGGGGACTTTTGATCACCCTTTCTATTCTTAATGCATGGGGACACAAACCCATGCCACATTGGGACCTAAACCCAGTGTCCTCTGGGGAACTCAAGCCCCAGAGCATTCAGGGGAGTGACCCCCACTTGATGTCAACGAAGAAGGGACCACACCCTCCTTCTACGTGTGGATTATCTTCAGGGATGACCCAGGGAACTGCTGGGATTCAAACCCAGGATCTCCTGTTTACTAGATAGGCACGTTGAATGAATGAATGAAAGAATGAAAGTTACATTTATATAGCACTTTTCAAGATGCCCAAAGCGCTTTGCAGAAGTAATGGGGAGCCACTCCAACCACCGCCACTGTGGTAGCCCCCACCAGGATGATGCAACAGCAACCATTCTGTGCCAGTATGCTCACCACATAATAGCTAAGGTGGTGAAGGAGCAAGAGAGAATTCACTCAATCAGCCAATAATAGTGGGTCCCCAGGACTGCAGTTGAGAACCACTGTATTATCATTGGCTAATTGAGAGGTCATCCCAAAAACCTGTCAGACTTATTCTGAAAAACAAACTTTTTAAAGTTATAAGCGAATAATGAGACATTACCTCTGAGTAAAAGAACTTCAGTTCAGGATTTGGAACTGGCCCTCCATGGAATAGGTTCCCCACCCCTGATGTGGGGGGATTATTGGGCGGTCAGACGTTCAGGGTACTATCCCTACTCTTTCAAAAGTTGCCCAAGGACCGTTCATTGCCTTAGAGAATCAGGACCTTGATTTTCCATTTCATCCAAAGGAGAGCACCATTTTTACAGCACAGTGTCTCCATCACTGCACTGAGATCCACACAGACCACAGGAGGGGCTAACTTTCTGGCCACACCAACACCTCTTCCAGCAGCAACTCAGCTTTCCTATAGTTGGTTTCCCATCCAAGTACAGTGGTTCCTCGACCCACGAACAGTCCTGTTCACGAACAAATCGGGTTACGAACCAGATTTTGTACCGTCTTTCAGGCTGCGAATGTATTAAAAACTTGTTGTAGATATATGTCTTTACTGTATCTCTTCAGAGGTCCAATATCTGAAAAAAGAAAAAAATAGAGAGAAGGAACGTTCTGTTATAGCGGTACCTTTCAGTGGTTGATAAACATGTTTGTAATGGTTTCTAACAGTCACATATCTATACATAAAGATATAGTACTTCATTAATATAAATTAACTCCTATTTAAGTGTTATATTCTCCATTCACACATAGTGGCAACTGCGTATTGTTTGTTTACAGTACAAACAAAGAAGTTCATCACCATACAACGCGTGGCATCATGAAATGTACATAAAAATTTCAGGCATATGAAAGTACTGTACAGTATAATAATAAAAAATCACATTTTCGAAAATCACATTTTAGAAATTACTGTATTGTTTTTGACTGTTATTCAATATTTTAATGTTAATTGTTTAGTTTTTTTGGGGGGATGTTTTGTGGTTCTTTTCTGTGTTTTGACGTCTTTCGAGCGACCAGCCCGCCAAAAGGGGCAGTTGTGTAGTGGTCCGCCTTCCGTAAACATATGTTCTCTCTTTCCCTTTTTTGCTCTTTAAGGCTATTTTAAGTCTATATTCTTGGTCACAGAAAAACATAAAAAAAAATGTAATTCATTGCTTCTGAGGTTTGAACGAATTATTTGTTTAAATTACATTATTTAAAATGGGAAAAATTGGTTCAAGTTGCAAACTTTTCGGGTCGCGAACTGAGTCCTTGAACGAATTAAACTTGTGAGCCGAGGTATGACTGTACTGGCCCTGTACAAACCCTGCTTAATTTCAGGTAGATTACCTGGCCTGAACTGCAGGTAGTAGGGCTGCTGGCACCATCTAACCAATTAAACCACAGCCCTACCTTCTAGGAAAAAGAAATTCTGAATATGAATGAATGTTAGAGACAGTAGCAGCAGAGTGACTCTACAGGCTCAGATCAGCCTGCGAGTCAGTGATCAGCCTGCGAGTCAGTGATCAGCCTGCGAGTCAGTGATCAGCCTGCGAGTCAGTGAGTCAGGGCCCGCTCAGCCCCAGCCTCTCTACTTGCTCTGTCTCTGTCTGTACGGCCCTGAAGGAGCCTCACTGTGATTAAAATGGAGGAGCTTCTCCAGGCCCAGTACCTGGGAGCTGGCTCGGGCGGCTAATTGAGGAGCCTGGTGCTGATCCGGTAGTGACCCCGTGCTGTTTTTAATTCATATCCAGCCGTGCGGGATGCCGCTGTCTGTGTGTAATGCCTCTGGTGCCACGCTGCGCGGAAGGCATTTTGTCCTCCGTCTCCTCATGCGGGAGCCAGACGCGCAGTGGAGCCGCGTTGGCATGCGGCGCAGTGAACGTCCGGCTGCCACGGCCACTGTGAGGTTCACTGGTTATTGATGTCGTACCGTGTCATATATCTAAACTCCATGCAGTTTGCAGAGGTGAGCTTGTCATATTAAACTGTATAAACCGTGGGTATGTAAACGCATTATGACTCATTAAATACTGGTATTAAAATTCAGGAGGACACCGATCTGTAGTTCTCGTTATTATTCCTCATGGTCTGTGAGTGTAATCTGTGATTCTCTCTCCCAGGTTGCGAGCCCATTCCCCTGAAGTATCTGGAGTGGACTGATGTCGAGTCCATAGTGGCCGTGGTCTTCTCCTGTCTGGGCATCCTGGTTACCATGTTTGTGACATTCATCTTCGTGCTGTACCGTGACACCCCCGTGGTGAAATCCTCCAGCCGCGAGCTATGTTACATCATCTTGGCCGGCATCTTCCTGGGTTACGTGTGCCCCTTCACGCTCATCGCCCGGCCCACCGTGACCTCCTGCTACCTGCAACGTCTCCTGGTGGGCCTCTCCTCTGCCATGTGTTACTCCGCCCTGGTGACCAAGACCAACCGCATCGCTCGCATCCTGGCGGGCAGCAAGAAGAAGATCTGCACGCGCAAGCCGCGCTTCATGAGCGCCTGGGCCCAGGTGGTCATCGCTTCACTTCTAGTCAGCATCCAGCTCACTCTGGAGGTCACACTCATCATCCTTGAGCCACCGGAGCCCATCAAGTCCTACCCCAGCATCCGGGAGGTCTACCTGATCTGCAACACCAGCAACTTGGGTGTGGTGGCGCCATTGGGCTACAACGGCCTGCTCATCATGAGTTGCACCTACTACGCCTTCAAGACGCGCAACGTGCCGGCCAACTTCAACGAGGCCAAGTACATCGCCTTCACCATGTACACCACCTGCATCATTTGGCTGGCCTTCGTGCCCATCTACTTCGGCAGCAACTACAAGATCATCACCACCTCCTTCTCCGTCAGCCTGAGCGCCACTGTGGCCCTGGGCTGCATGTTCACGCCCAAGATCTACATCATCATCGCCAAGCCCGAGCGCAATGTGCGCAGCGCCTTCACCACATCCGACGTGGTGCGCATGCATGTGGGCGACGGCAAGGTGGACTGTCGCAGCAACAGCCTGCTCAACATGTTCCGCAGGAAGAAGAACTCCCCAGGCAATGCGAGGTGAGTCCTCGTTGGGGCAAAGCCCACTGGCCAGGCGGCCATTAGGTCAGGGCTGTTCAACTCCGATCCTGGGGCGGGGGCTGGGGGCCTGATGTTTGCAATCATTTCTTGCAGCCTAATTCTGAGCCATCAAACAGAGGTGTTACTAATTTTCTTCTGAGAATCATTTGAAGTCCCCTGAAGTTAACGGGTGCTGGGGAACCCGGTGGAATGTGGCCCCACCTACAGGACCGGCGTTCTTCCGTCCTGGTCCAGTGGAGCAGCTGGTCATATTAGCATCAGTATCAGAGTCATGTGTGACTTGTCAGCAAGGGAAAGTTAAAAAACACACTTATTCACTCACACATACAGACGCTAAATGGTTGGTGACTGCTTTTAATATTCATAAAAGGAAAGAAACACTGCAAATGTGAGCCAAGGCTGAGAAAATGTTTAATGCATCAGATAGTGGTGAGTGCTGTGAAGGATAGTCACCAGCCTGATTCTTTGCTTGGGAGTTTATGTCTATCTCTGCACAGTGAAACAGGGATGAAGTAAGAAGCTCACGCTCTGATATAGTGAAAAAACATTAGGGGTTAGGTGTGGTTCCTCAGTGCTTCCAGCTAGTGACCTGGCTATAGGCAGCATTATTCCTGCAGATACATTGTTTATTCAGAAGTGATCAACCTTTCGTAATAACTAAACAATGTTTACACATGCAGATGAAATGAAGTTAAATCGTAAATAAAGTTGTTACCTACATTCAGTCTATTTGACATTGAAGTATGTTGACTAGGCAAACGATTTCAGAAACATACTGTAATTTGAATAATACATGAATTCATGAAATTTATAAGTCGAAGGCATGCTTTTTTCTGGTCTTACTATCCTTCTAATTCTCTCTCTCTTTCTTTCTTGCTCCGTCTCTCCAAAGAAAAGATAAATATTTCCTTTTTTGTTTGTTTACCAAGGAAGCAGTAAAGAGTGAGCAGTTTAGATGAGCTTATTAGCCTTTGTGAAATTCTTTTGCATGATCTCACTGTCCTGGGTTCCCGAGCAATAACTGCCATCTTTATTTTGTTCTTAGTTCTAATGGAAAGTCTGTGTCATGGTCTGAACCAGGTGCCAAGCAGCCACCGAAGGGGGAGCACATGTGGCACAGACTGTCAGTACATGTGAGGAAACAGGAGCCCAGCCCCAATCAGACAGCTGTCATCAAACCCCTAACTAAAGCCTACGACACTGGCCTCAGCATCTCAGACCTCAGCACCAAAACTTTGTACGATGTGGCAGAGGAGGAAGAGGGTGATCCTGTCCACCACAATCCGCCTGACAACCCTGCCGTGATGGCCGTTGGCCAGGTGCTCAACGTTGGGCCGGAAAAAGACATGGTGGGGGGGCAGGCATGCCTAGCCGAGCGTCCGTGCAACTGCGCCTTCCCCCCGCAGTCCGTCATGGCCCACCTCCAGGAGGTGGCAGACAAACTCCATTCCAGCGTGCCGGATTTTAACGACGAGGTCCGGGGCCCTGGGAGTGGGGCAAGGCCCTGCTACCAAACCCATCTGGGCCAATGTCCGACCCCCACCTCGCACCTGGACCCCTTTGAGGAGGAGCTCTTATGCCCTACTGATGAGCTGGAGGATGAGCGGTTGGGCCTGATTGGCAGCTACGCTTATGACAACGTCCGGATCCATGAAACAGAGGAGATGGAGGAGGATTTGGAGGAGCTGGTACCAAGCCGGTTCACCCCAGAGGCCTCCCCAGCCCTAACACCCCCATCTCCTTTTAAAGACTCAGTGGGCTCAGGAAGCTTTGCCCCAAACTCCCCTGTGTCCGAGTCCGAGCTATGCAGCCCACCCCGCATGACCTATGCCTCCATCGTCCTGAGGGACTACACCCAGAGCTCGTCCACTTTGTGAGGCTAGCAACGTGTCTCTTTGCTCCTTTGTTCTATCAATTTCGTTTTTTGTTTTGAAGACAAACAAAACTAAACAAATCAAAGCAAAGCAAACGGAATATCCCCAATGGCCTCTGTGTGCCCATTCATTCTGCAAATCTTAAACAAGGGGGCCCAACAATGGAGCATCTCAGCTTTCAAGAGAAAGTGTTGAAGGTGGGAGGAATAGTTCTGGAAGTATGCTGAAGGTATTTTGCACGAGGAAAGCTGAATCCGATGGATGACAACAAACAGGAAATAAGACGTACTGTGAAAGTGGATTGACACACGGAGAGTTAATTGGTGTTGCAGATGCAAACAGATCAAATTTTTGTAACTTTCCTGAAGTGTGTTATGCCTTTCAGTGTTTTTATTTCTGTTTATTCTGATTACGAACATAAGTAAACTCGGAAAACCTGCTTCTAGATGATCGTTCCATTTTGCATTTTAAATTTGATATTTGTTTATGCTGCTAGAAGGAACAAACAGATTTTTTTCAGTAAAATAAAAAGTATTCACCCCAAGGTTATGGAAAACAGGATTTCCCACAAGACCACTGGATTCGTTGTAATTATTTTACCCGACCTCGCTCTTATTTGACTATATCAGTTGTCGAATAAATTTGAACTGTGACAATATGGGTTGTTTGTGAAGGATTTAAAGGATTTATACAAAGTTATACAAAGATTACTGTTAAGATATTCCCCACTGTTTCCACTTAAATTGAATAATAATAGATTTCATTATTTTCCTTAATTACATTATGGTTATTTAATTTATTTTAATTTAACCTTAGTACAGTTAAGCAATTCAGTGACTGGGTAATGCCACTTGGTTTTAGAAAAGGGACACCTTATCTGACATAAAGCACAGGGAACATTTTCTTTTAAGAGAAAAAATGAACTTAAGTCCAAGAAACTATTGCTTTTAGCCACTAGACCTAGATTTTCAAACTGCCCAATACAATATAATAGTTTAGCAACTTAGTATGAACAAAACCAAGCACTTATAAGTGAAGACTTTGGGCCAGGGTTCGAGGACTGGGATTAATATCTGCTGTTCTTTTCAAATTTGCATTTTCTGTTTCCATTGAAAAACAAGTCATCAAAAAATGAAAAAAAGACTTTGCACGTTACATTAAAGATATTTTTTACAATTTTCAGGAGTTTCATATGAGCTAAAATAGAAGGCTGGAAAGTTTTGTGCTAGACTGTAATTCTGCAGAATATTATAGTGAAAAAAGGGAAAGTATATACATATTTTTTAAAAAAATGAAAATTACTGAAACAAAAAATAGATATATAATTTTTTCACGTTATATTTCATTGTTTCTATGATCTTTTATCATTGTAATAATGATATGTCTTTAAAATTTATATTCCATCAAACTGTCTCCCTTTTCATACAAAGGCTCCCTGTTTGTAAAATTATTGTAGAATGTGGGAAATGTATATTGTCTTGAACTTGTTTTGTGGTGAAAGAGGCATTGAATTTGGGTAACTTTTCCAGGAAATTTAGAAGTCAGTGATCTCCTTAAGAACTTTAATTTTAAGGTTTACAATTTTGTAGTTGCTTCTAGTGATAAGGTGTTGCATTTAAATCATGCCTAGATTGATCTTGTTCAAACTGAAAGTTTAAATGAACTACATGATTATAAGTTATATAGTAATGTATTTATTAGACTGGGATTATCCCAAGTATAGATAAATATACTGAGTATCGTAATTTATGAATTGATATACAGTTAGTGCATTCATGTATTCTGTTTGAGTACCGAATCATTTGTAAAACGTGGGGCAAAAGGTCAGTCACGTGGTATCAGCTAGACGTGAGAACACATGTGTACTTGCCAGGATTAATGATTCTGTAAAATAAATATTTTATAATTAACATTGCCTCGGCTTGAACATTTTTTAGAAACCGTATTTCATTGAGAAGAGGTACCCCTCTGCATTTGTACTTCTTTCTAGATGTTTAACGAGCGATCGTGTTGCTTCACATCCTTAAAGTCTTTTGTAGACTTTAAACACCGCTTCAAGTTCCTTGTTCGCATACCATTACTTTTTAGTGTATTTTAAACAAATCTGGCCCAAGTGTCAAGTGCATCTTTAGGAATTTTTGTTTAAGGGCTCTTTTTATACGTGTTTTTCTAGTTTTGTACAGCCCTTCACCTCGCAGACCAGTGACGTCTCTAAAATACATATATGTAGAATACAAATGATTCTCATTAATACGGTTTGTTATATTTGTAATCAAATTGATACGTTTTCATTAGATTCATATTTAAATTATCAGACCATCCATTGTTTCGTAACCGCTGATCCAGTGCCGTTTCTTAGTAATGTTTCATTTGTATTATCTTAACTGCTTTCAGTGCTAATGAGTATGAATGAAAGTGGGTTTATGGAACTGTACATTTTGCGCGTATTACAAGACAGAACCCCAGGCACTGTAGACCGAGAAGTAATCCAGTGAACTGAAAGGGATTTTATATGTAGTTAGACAAAGCCAGTTCCGGGTCCTGTGACTTATCAGGTGGTTGTTAAGTAAGCTGGAGTCGGAGGGAGAGTTTTCTTTCAATTGCACTTCGTACTTCTAAACAAGAAGGAAGTAGATTTCCTACTCCTCCGGTTTATAAACAGAGTAGGAAGTGAGGCTTTTAGTGTCATCGGGAAGGTTTGACAATGGCCGGCGGCTCGGTGTCCGAGTGTAAAGAGTACTTGTTTAAAGTGTTGGTGATCGGCGAGTTAGGCGTGGGGAAAACTAGTATCATTAAACGTTATGTCCATGAGCTGTTTTCGCAGCACTACAGGGCAACTATCGGCGTTGATTTTGCTCTCAAAGTTATAAACTGGGACAGCAAGACGTTGGTGAGACTACAGCTGTGGGACATAGCAGGTAAGATATCTGTTAATGCGATGAAACCCGGTACGACGTACAGAACGTCGCTGTCAGTTTACAGTGTTACTGTCTACAATGTAACACGATTCGCTTTTGTGGCGGTAACAGCTTTATGGAGCGATGATCGAGTTACACTGCAGAACAACTACAATTACAATGTTACTGTAAATGGGCTCTAACAATCACTGCGGTGTTACTGTACGTGATGATTGGTGTGTTACTTCTTAGACATTGCGGTTGTTTTGCAAGTGGTCTGAACCGAAACAGTTAAACGCCTTTTTGTTATTTATGTGAGTTTGCAACAACTCGGTTCCCAGAAAGTAGCCTTTGGACGTGTCGTCGCTCTGTCTACGTTTGGTGATCACGTTAATTGCAAGTGAAATGTAGGTCGAATTATGTCTAGGCTGTTGTCCCTTTTTGAAATTCCTACGGCCATGGCAACAATTACAGCACTTCAGTATTTACCTAAGATTCTACTAGCCTATTTACTCTCATCTTACCGAAATCGTTATTTTTTTTTTTAAAGACAAATCAAGTATCCGGTATTGAGCGAGTTTGATGATTAGCTGCCACAGAACCACAGTACCTCTTTAAAAAGTTAAATCAGATGTCGCTCCGGGCAAGAGAAAACACACCAGATCCAGATCAGGCCCAGGCATCCAAATAACAGCGGGCAAATAGGGCTCTGTCCGGGCAGCTGTCACAAAAGGCGGCATTTGGGGTCCCCGTGTGTAAAAGTGCCGTGTGGCTGGATTGCGGCACCGATAAGAGAAACAGAAAAGCGCAGACATGTGTAACATGTGATACGGCCCCCGATTTCGGAGTAGTTTTGTAGGCGGAATGACGTCCTAAGAGAGGGTGTGAACCTGAAGACACCTGAAATCACGCTGACTCTTGTTGCCTTTTCGAACAGTTCTCACGCTTCCTAATTACTACAAACCCGATTAATTTGCTTTAAGATTATTTTTTTTAACGGTTATGAAATTATATATAACTTTATGCCAATTTATGAGCAAATTTTGTAGTGTGGTGGCATTGACAAGTGACGATTAGGCAGAAAAATACCTTGATTTATTATTTTAAACAGTTGAGTGGCTGGATCAGAGATTGAAAATCATCTCTTGACATAACCTCCTCATTCAAGCAAAGGCAACGATTGTTCGGGTTTATGTAGCACTAATAACACGATTAACCTTCTGTCGCGTTGATTTTCTCATAGTACTAATACATTTTCACAGTCCAGCAAGGCAGTTCTGAATTGCACTCATAAATAAAGCAATGTCCATAAACTTGCATGCCAAGTGGTCAGTTTTGAACTTTGACACCCAGGCATTGTTCATTAATTGACCCCAGAAGGCATCTTATTAATGGTGAAGACATTTGCTATGCAGACTATGCTGACCTTCTAAAAACCCAGCTGTTGTTTAATAAATGCAATACAGAACGGCATCTAGATTTTTTTTCCAGCCATTATTTGAGCACCTCTAAAATGACCTGAGTCTTAAAAAAACCATCTTACATGTTTTACAACTGGAAGTTTCTTTACTTCAGAAATCAGGTGCTCATGGTTCAGACACCGAGGCTCCTCCTAGGATCAGTGACGTTTTTGGTCACAAGTTCCAGGTCCCTAATCATCACATCACACACTGGCCCAGTAACTTAACTGGAATTCAGACTCTAATCCCAACCTGTTTAGCGAAGGTCCTGCGAAATCCCTGGGGAATTTTTCAGGAATACCTCAGCACCCAGCAGCAGGGCGATCCAAGTAAAGCAGATGCTTGAGGTATTGCACGGGCATGAGTGAACCACAGGTGACATTGGGGGTGGGGATGGTGTGATGGGTGCCAATCCACGGAACCATTAGGTGTGGCTGCATTATGAAATTTGTGATGGCATTAATGTGAAATGATTCTATATTTGCCATTTGTACAAGTTCTAAAACAGGTACATGTCCCATCTTGCTTGCTCTCTCTTTTGTTTTTTTTTTCTCTTCTTCAAGACATATAGACAGAGGTGAGAGCAAAGCTGGGGGTTAGAGTGCAGGGTCAGCTGTCCCTGGAGCATTTTTCAGGGGTTTGAGGACCTTCCTCAAGGGCCCAAACAGGGGATTCAAACCAACAACCTTCCTGTCGCAGGCATGGAAGCCCATCACACTGAGCCACACTCCGTCCCCCCAGCTTGGCCCATGTCATGGTTCCAGACCTTTAGTATTGTGTTGCTAAAGTTGTCCTCTCCACCCCCCCCCCCCAAACCCCCTCACATACATATCCTGAGCAGTAGGAGTTGTCTCTTCACCCCCAATTGTCAAGTCCTTTGCAAATGGAGCACTAATCAGCTTCAGCCGAGATGCGTTTCTCCCAACAGCCGGAAATAGAAGCTTATCATTGGGCCTGTCTGGGTGGGATGTGATGATTACAGCCAGGCTGTAAAGTACGGACTTGAACCAAGGATCTAGACATCCGGCTCGGAGACCCAGCCCTCTGGCCTCTGTGCAGTGGAACACAGAGTCGGAGGGGGCGTGGCCTTTCCCGTCCATCATGAGAACTGCCCCCATTGGATTTTCGTGGCACTCCCTGAGCATGCATCTCCAAAGTGTGTCTTCTGTTAAAAACACATGAAATCAGTGCTTAGAGGAAATTGGCTGTCCTTAACTGTGGAATTTGGCACAAAGGGAAAAATCATCCTCAGGCCTGTCAAGGCACCACAGTAAGGAGCATTTGCAAAAGATGTGGGGGGGGGGGGGCGTAGCTCCGCAATGTCAGGAGGTGAGACTTGGCCGGCAATTAAGGTGCGTCTTATGTGACATGTCCGAGATGGCGAGTTACAGCTGACAAAGCCTTTGTTTCTTCTTTCTTGGATGGTTTCCATGGAAACCCACCCACAGATGATATCTCGATTAGGGCCGTATGAGACGGGGGTTGCTAAGTCCTGCAATAAAGACTCATCTTTTTTTTTAATTCAAAACCAGAGAGAAATGTGATGCACTGCTTCGCTTTGATGGGACCCGATGGGAGAGCAACCATTTAGAACATGGTTGTAATTAAGGATGTGGGATCTAATTGACCCATATAGTAGTTTTATATATCGGTAGAGTGTCTGTGCTTGACATGGGGGGGGGGGGCAGAGCCAGGAAAGCCATGAGGGAGAGAGAACCCCACCCCACGTTCGTTTGTTCTGTTGTCGTGAATCGTGCTTATGCAAAAAAAAAAAAAATTAATCAAGTATAATCATTAGAGTCATTCCTTTGATCTTCTGTATCTGGAAGCAAGTGTGGACTGATTGCAAAAGGATGAACTTGGGTAGCTGCTGTAATGGAAAGACTATGTGACCGCCAGGCAGGGCAAGTGAACACGCCCAGCCCATCACTGGCTCCGTTCTTCTGTCAGTAACCTTCTGCAGAAACGGGACTCGAGATCCCGCCTGACTGCTTCGTGCCGATCAGTCTGTTCACCAAAAGTGAGGTCCGGGTGAACATCTATAGGCATCAGGACAGTCAGCCAGTGCACTCAACACGGAGTGATATTGGTACAACCACGTAAATGCACAGTTCGTTTTTCCTGGGCTGAGCGACAAATTGCACTTAGTTCTGGCATTTTTCCTATTTCAGTCATTTTTCATTCATTTTATTTATGTCGTATTTATGGATGGCTAGGATAACAACTGCTGTGTACTACTGTACAAAAGGCAAATAAAGAATCGTTAACATAAATAAAAACAGACAATGATGGGACACTTGCTGTGGAAATGTAAGCGACTAACTGCTCACCAGTAAGGTTATAAGTGAAGGCAGCTGGCTGGAGGGATGAACACAGACTTGCTATATGGCTAAAACCTCCATCCATCTACCTGCGTTCTAACCACTTATGCTGGCCAGGGTCATGGGGTGAACTTGGAGCCCATCCCAGGCACATCCAGGGTGTGAGGCCAGTCCATCACGGGGCGTTTACACGAACGCACTTGGTCATATACTATGGATAATTCAGAGATGCCAGTTAGCCTAATAGCATCTCTTTGATCCGTTGGAGGAAAGCCACACAACACAGGGAGAATGAGTGAAGTCCACACACACACACACACACACACACACAGAGTGTGGAGACAGCATGTGAGCCTCACCAGCACTGGGGGTGTGAGGCTATGCTGCTACCCACCGTGACACCGTGCTGGCTGCCCAAAAGCAGCATTAATGAGAAAAATCTAAAATAAAATGGAAACAAGGCCTTATTAAATGACATGCACAAAAGTGTGTGTGTGTGTGTGTGTGTGTTAGGTTTATATTACATTGTGGGGACCATACCTGTTATTTTGACATTGTGGGAACCATTTGTCAGGTTCCCACAAAGGTCTGTAAATGCAAAAGTCTCGTATTTAGTTTGGTTACTTATGGTTAAGGTTAGGGCTGGGTAGGGGTTAAGGTCGTCGTCTTGAGATTACAGTTTTCCCCATAGAAATGAATGGAGAGTCCCCACAAAGATATAATTACAAACCTGTATGTATGTGTATGTGAGTGGGTATACTTTACCTTACTGGGACACAATGTCACCACAACGTGATGAATACTAAGCTGGTCCCCATAAGGGAAAACTCAATTTAATAAAAATCTGTGACTGCAATGAAAAAACTAAAAATGCAAAAACTCTTGTATTCTGCTTAGTTACTTATGGTTATGGTTATGGTTATGGTTACAGTTAGGGCTGGGTAGGGGTTAAGGTTGTCATAGTTAGCGTTAGCATTTTTCCCATAGAAATGAACGAGCGGTCCCCGTAAGGATGTTTACCCAATATGTGTGTGTGTGTGTGTGTGTCTGTGTGTTTGTGTGTGTAAGCAGGTATACCTTACCTTATCGGGACACAATGTCCCCACAACATGATGATTACCTGTTTTTTTCCCTTATGGGGACCAATTTCCTGGTCCCCATCAGGAAAAACTCANGGGGTCATCTCCTCCAAGGCCACCTTGTTTATCCTTAACGAGATAACTGGAGCCATCAGACCCAGCTGAGTTTCATTAGCGAGGCAACTATAGACTCAAAGCAGGTGATCAATTGCCATGGTAACGAAAGTTCACCCTAACCAAGCACCGTGCCATAGCTATACCTCCCACTGACTCACACATGGAATTAAATGGGGGGGGCTCTGTGGAGTGTGTCTGGGCTACGGTGCGTGCGGTTCCTCATTCTGCCGTCCCCGGGGGCGGCTGCCTCAGATTCACTGTGACACACGGGTCTCATCAACAGCACATCGCGCCAGACTGACAGCTGCCCGCCCTGCTGTTCCTCAGCAGCCATGACTGTTCCCAACCCTAAGCGGCGCGGTGCACCATCTCTCTGGCCCCATTTGGCCACTCTATGGGTGCGCAGGAGCCAGTTTTGGAAACACTCCGATCAAACGACCGTTGGCCAGATGAGACGGAATCTTGGCCGCGGAGAAACGGGCTCCCTGTGTGCCTCGCGCTGAACACTGTACCTCCGCGTTCACCCTAATGCTGCTGACTGTAGAGAGGGCTGCTTTAAAAAACTGTGCTTGTTTCAAATTCAGCTGTGAGTGTTACAGTGGAATATTTTTGTGTTTTTTTTGTGTTCAGTGTCAGTCTAGCACATTTACAATATATGAGAGTGTGTGTGTGTGTGTGCGTGTGTGCCTATTAGGTTTATATTATGTTACATCATGTAATAAAAACCTGCTGTTTTAACGTTGTGGGGACCATTTTTCAGGTGCTCACAAAGATCTGTGAATGCAATCAAAAAACGAAAAATATTTTGTTTGATTACTTATGGTTAAGGTTAGGGCTGGGTAGGGGTTAAGGTTATCATGTTGGGATTTGAGTTTTCCCCTTAGAAATTAATGGAGAGTCCCCACAAAGGTGTAATTATAAACCCGTGTGTGTGTGTGTGGTGACTGATGGGGGCTGTTCTTACTTTCCTCAGCGCATGGCCCACAGTATGTCTGCTATGTATGTGCCGTCGTGTTACTGTCATGTTTACAGTATATAGTTTCAGGTGTTATCGAATGTGCTGAGACACCAAGGGGAAAATCCCCTTTCAAGAAGTGCTTACATTCATCTAACGTCTTTCATGCAGTGGAAATTTTTTTTTATAGTACTAGTTTCAGGAAACCATGAAGACAAAACACACACAGGGCAACTACACACTATTGTAGTACTGTAATGGACTGTCAGTCATCGCTAATTAAGGGGAGGAGACCCAGTTTGTAATATTAGATCATACAAGAGGGACACATTCTGCTAGCATATCTTGCTGGGACCATTGAGAGTGCAGGTCAGAGGTTGTTGCTATGCATTAATCTGGAGTTAAGGAGGGAAATGTGTTGGCAAGGAAATGGACTTTTATTTTATGACTAATTCTTGGAGTTTTTTTTGGTGTTCCGGGCAGCAGAGCTCAGAAGTGGATAGGAAAGCTTCAGCCATGTCTGATGCTCCCTGATGATTACAGCATTTTCTGTCTTTCAGGTCAGGAGCGGTTTGGGAATATGACCCGGGTTTATTACAAGGAGGCAGTGGGGGCCCTTGTGGTCTTTGACGTGACGCGGAGCTCCACCTTCGATGCCATCTCCAAGTGGAAGCATGACCTGGACACCAAGGTGAAGTTACCCAACGGGAACCCCATTCCATCTGTGCTGCTGGCCAACAAGTGTGACCAGAAGGATGCGAGCAGCACCAGTCCCAGCGCCTTGGACGGCTTCTGCAAGGAGGCTGGCTTTCTGGGGTGGTTCGAAACCTCTGCCAAGGTAAGGCACCGTCATTGGACTGGCAGCTGGGGCAGCTGGGGCAGCAGGGGCAGCTGCAACATCAACTGCCCCACTCCAACTGCAAAGCTCACATACATGCGAAACATTGGTGAGGATTAAGATGCTGTTTACTTGTGACATACTACTTTTATGTCTCTCATTTTTATGTATATGATGTCGTTATGTTGGGGGTCGTAACGCAAAAAATATTTGGCTCAGTTATAGTTTGCAGTGTTTTGTAGTCAAACTATGTTGGCGTGAATTTAACGAAAAAAAGCACGTTTGTAGAATTTGCTAACTACTGCACTGCATGATGCGTACAATATTTAGAGGCTACCCAAATTTCATCATCTGCAATTGCTGCAGCTGGTGTAGTCTGGACCTGGGTGTGAATCAATTTGATAGTTTAGCTGCCAGTAATCCTACCCTTGTATCCCCGAACAAGATACTTACCCAGATTGCTTAAATAACACAACTGCATGTGTTAATCAAAATCTAGGATTTCAAGTGATAGATGTCTCATTAAATAAATATTTATGTTAAGTATAAGCTGCTCCAAACAGTCAGGAAAGCGGAATCTTTTCTCGGGGCCTATCAAAACCTCACTTCTGTGTTTAGCCTGCAAAAGCCCTCCATCAAAACAACTGTACTATACAGTGTTCCTGAAGCTCCAGATTCAAAGCCGGTTACCTTAGCAACCGCTCCTTTGCGGGAGGGTATGTGTCGTGAAAACCTCGAACCGCCCGCTTTCTTCAGTCGTTCGCTTTGACTGACTGTCTTATCTGTCGCTCCATGTGAGCCGTGGCCAGGCTGGAATAACGAACGTACCAAACAGTTGGCAGCTGTCGAGGCACTAACAGCTGTGAGCGCAAATGCAAAGCGCAAAGAAAGTCTGCGTTCCCTGGAAATAAGGAGTTTGAGGTTGTCATCTTCTCCTTTGCATCATCTTCCCTCAGATCAGACAGGATCTGATATCCTTAATGCGTGTGGTTGATTGATTGAGGTTCTCATTCTACCCTGATTGTTTTTTGATTATCAGATAATAGTATAATACCAACCCAACACTGCCTGACGTTTGAGTCTGACCCCCTGTAACCAGATCAGTCCTGTGCTTCAGTATTTGGTCCTCCAAAACTGGAGTTGTATTCCAGACTTGGCTTCTCCCCAGATGGTACCTTCCACCCCCCTGCCCTGCCTGTGGTTTTTCCTAGAGCTGTCTCCAGTTTTTCTAACACAGCTGCGTTTTGATCCTTGGCTTTGGATACAAGAAAGATGCAAAAATATTGTGGAAAATGTTGGTATAAGTACCACCAATAAGGCATTAACCAGTCACTTCAGGGATGCTAAGCTGGGACGAATAAACTCGGTGATGATGTGATTTTTGAGTCTTCAGCCTGGCTTGGATGAATTTGGAAAGGAATGTGTCCTTACCTTACTTAATAATTTGAGCTTCTGGATGGATATTATTGAATATACAGAATTCACCATTTTCACTGGTCTCTATATTATAGGCATATTTTTGAAACAAACAAATGTAGCTTGACTTCCTGTACATCAGGGGTGTCAAACCCCAGTCCTGGGGGGCCGGAGCCCTGTGTAGCTTAGTTCTTTCCCTTTTCCTCCACAAATGATTCAGCTCAAGAGCTGTGTGGTAATTAGCACAAGGAGTTGAATCAGGTGTGTTAAATGAAGATAAACCAAAAACTGTGCAGGTTTGACACCCCTGCTGTACATAAAGGAAGGACTATATAGAGACAAATATCAGAAGCGTCTCTAAAAGGATGCTGTGGATGACGTGCTCATGCATATATGCATTTTTATGGTAATTTTTGTGAACCAGCGCGTTTGCTGCTCTCACCTCCTCCTCAGCTTATTTCTGTCCACATATTGGGACAGATTTGGACCAGAGCATGTGGCCTCCAGAAAGCATGTTCTACAACACTTGGCTGCAGAACCTTTGCTTGAAGACCAGCAGTGGTCCGTGCATATCCCCACAAACAGAAGGCAGATTAACTGATCTCAGATCAGTCCCATTGCTGTTCTCAGAGGCTTACGCCGATTGACAGCCTTCGGATTCTAAGCTCTCCATGTTCTGCACTCCCTTGTAGAGCCATTTCTGTGGCTGAGCAGTGGGAAGGTCTCCTTGGAAACCCCAACACTCTGGTCTACAGAGTTTTTATTATTTGATATTTATTGATATGTTACACCAGTGTTTCCCAACCCAGTCCTCAGGGAACTCCGGACAGTCCATGTTTTTGCTTCCTCTCAGCTCCCAGTGCACCTCTACCAGGTTTTCGGTGTTCCTGATTGGCTGGGAGGGAGCAAAAACATGCACAGTCCAGGGCTCCCCGAGGACTGGGTTGGGAAACACTGCGTTACACTATGTGCACACTCCTAGTTCTTGTATATTGACAATCTAAGCCACACCCACTGCTGACATTGAGTGCTTAATTACACAGCTCTGTCACGCAACCTCCAGCATCAAACAAGGGCAGCAGAACAGCTGATGATACAGAAGAGCTCAGTAACCTTAATCCTTCATCTTAAGATCGTTCAATTTCTACCCTGGGGGGGGGGGGATTAGCAGGATTTCCCAGTTAGCTGGATAACTTAAGCCTGGGCTGCCCAACCCTGCTTTTGGAGATCTACCACCTGCAGAGCTTAGGCGCGGCCCTAATTTAACACACCTGATACAGATGATCAGGCCTTTCGCTACCATCTCAGTTTTACAGCTAGCTTAGCTTCAATATAGCAACTAGTACTGAGGTGCTACTGAAGAGCCTGATTATCTGTATCGGGCGTGTTTAATTAGAGCTGCACCTAAGCTCTCTAGGGTGGTAGATCTCCAGAAGCAGGAATGGGCAGCCCTGACTTAACCCAAACATGAAAACCGCAAGAGAGGTAAGTGACATTCCTACTTAACTTAAGCCAAATGATCTGATCACCTAATATCAATACTCAAACTGATTGGCAGCAAATCCCACCAGCAATGTTCCAACATCTAATGGAAACCTTTCCTGGAAGAGTACAGGCTATTATTGCAACTAAGAGTGAGCTCATGCCGGTGACCACATACCTTTGGCCATATAGGGTATGTGTTCGGTGGTCTTCAGAGAGTTTTGAATATACAATAATAATAATAATAATGATGTATTTCTTTAAAGCAGGGGTGGGGATCCTATTCCATGGAGGGCCGGTGTGGGTTTTTGTGATGACCTCTCAATCAGCCAATAATAAAGCAGTGGTTCTCAACCCCAGTCCTGAGCACCCACTGTGATTGGCTGACTGAGAGGCCATCCCAAAAACCTGCCCCCATAGCAACTCTCTATGGATCAGGTTCCCTGCTTTTTGAAGCAATATTCACACAAATGCTGATGGGCTTTCTTCAGATTTTGGGATGTAGTGGTTTTCTGTTGTGGTCTTTAAGGACAGGAACAGAAAGGTTAGCAGGTCAAATTTCAGCACCAGAACTGCTGCAGTACTCACAAGCCTGAATTACCTCAGAATACTTCGTCATACTGCAGAGAAATATAGCATTATTCCGTGTTCAGAATCCATAAATGGTCTGTTTATGGTGTGTGTTTGTGTGTGTCCACGCCCTCCGGCACAGCCTCATATACTGCGTACGCTGCCTGAAGCCAGGGATTGCCTGTGGAACGCCAAGCCCCAGACTAGTAAAGCTGTCGCTGGAAATGGATGGATAAGTGTGGCCACTGCTGATGTGTCTGCTATCCTCCGAGCCAGAACGGTTTTTTGATGGCTCTGGCTTTAGCGGAGGTGCAGCACTAATAAAAGACGCTGGGAGCCGCATTATCCTGGGGGGGGGGGCCGGATCACCGGGTGATTTTCAGCGCGGCCCCTGCCAGCTAAAAAGTCCTGCACTGCAAAAAATGAAAATCTAAGCAAGTATAACTTTCATGTATTTAGACAAAACTCTAATTTCATTAATAAACTGACTGAAACTCAGCTTATGAATAAGATTTAATTTGCTTGCATTTAGGCATATTGCCTTATTTTAGGAAATCCTACCAAGTACAATTTTCATACCGCCCTGGCACGTAGTTTTGCTAGTCTTAGGGCATCTTGTCTAAAAATAAAAGTTTCTTATAATTTTTAAAGGCCATTTTTGTAGTTCGGACTTTTCCTGGGGCATTTAAGATCCGTAAGTGTACGTACCTTTTCTGATATTTATTTCACTTCGTTTACTTTTTATAGACGCACTAAGATATTATTTCTGTTAGTAAGGGGGAGGGGACATCCCAATATGAGGTGATGTCATGTGTCAGGCCCAATCATGTTTTTCATCTGTGCCTTAATACCCAGCATATAAGATTGGGTTTTGTTTCTTATTCTGGTTACATAACTTGGCCGAACCCTCTCCCAATCTGCACCACTCTCCCAATCTGCACCACTCTCCCAATCTGCACCACTCTCCCAATCTGCACCACTCTCCCTTCGCCTATTCTCCAGGTGTAGCCTTTTTGTGAATCGTTTTTCCTAATCCTGCACCCAAAGAAAATGCCTCACTCTGATAAATCCTTTATTTGCCATTTGCACAAGTACACTGGAATCCTTCTCTTTGCCTACCCCATCTTGTTCTTCATAGCTTGGGGGGTCACAGCACGGGGTCAGCCAGTGTGCGGCACCCCTGGAGCTGGGGGTTAGGGGCCTTGCTCAAGGGCCCACAGACATGTGACAGTTCTGAGGGCAGGTGCTTGAACCGCCGACCTTCCGGTCACAGGCATAGAGTCTTAGCTCATTGAGTGTTTTTTTTTTCTGCCCATATTACTTTTGTGAGTCTTGCAGTTATTTTGGGTCTCGTGTGGTTCCTCACTAATCGAAGCTGGAGAGGTTCTGTGGATGAGCACCAGAGGATCTCTAGGGCTTGACAAGAGGTTACTGGGTTCAGCCTCTAGCCAGGAGGTCAACAACACCGGTGCTGGAAAACTTGGACCCATGTGCAGTCAATTGTAGAAAATAGCCATGGAACCCTTGCGTAGCCAGAGCTGTGACTGGTTAAAATATCTGGTGACAGCCCTGGCTGATTTTTCTGCCTTGGTTTCCTCACATGGGAGGGCGGGGGGGGGGGGGGGGGACCAGACTCCGAGATCCACGCGTGAGTCATGCTTTGTCCCACTCCTTCTGTCAGTGTCTCTCGAGGTCGACGACTCTCCTCCCATGGGGATGTGTGTCGTGCTTCAGGACGTAGCCACATAATCTCTGGGTTTTCTGGTTCAAGCCCCAGAAACAGCCCTGCTGGGAAGGCCGTTACCGAAGGTCCGGCAGTCTGAGGGGGTGAAACCGGAAAACTTTGCGGCTAAATGGCTTGCCAGTGCAAGGCATCACAGAGCATGCGTTTGCAGTGCAATACATTGCAGAGCATGCCTTTGCAGTGCATCTTTAAGCAGCATGGTAGCTAACGTGCCTGCAGCCTTGGGGGTTTAGTTCCTGTCCACCCCCCCTCCCCCATTCTGTTTTTGTGGAGTTTGCTTGTTTCCACCAGGCACTTCTGTTTTTACCTGCAGTATATTTAAATACAATAAAATACATTTTAAAAAGTGCAGTTATTTAGATTTGGCGTTCCAGAGTTGCCCATAGTGTGTGATTGTGGGTGCGTGTGAATGTGTGCCCTGTAATCCGCTGGCACACCATCCAGTGTGTGCCCTGTCTCAGGCCCTGAGGAGGCCGCAGCGTTCGTGTCGTTTAACTGGCATCTGCTCCATAAACTAGGAGCCCTATAGCCAAGGGCTATATTACAAACAGATCTTTTATTCATTCAAGGAACTGCAAAGAGGTCCAAGTCTAATAAGCTGAGAGTGCGTTCTGAATGGCTAGGCTCTTGTTTGTCTCCTGGAACCAATTCTTTCAGAGCTTCATGCTTGAGAGCAACTTGGAAGTCTATGCTGAACCTATGAGCCAGTGATGAGGTATGATAACAGGTGTGACGTGGGTATATTTTCTGGTTATGCTTACAGTACTTACTGCAGCATTTGTATTCCCCAGATAAGGATACATATGACTTTGGCATCAGTCTACTACTGCTATCACTTATCTCCTTAGTGCAATAACTCATAATGTACTCGATTAATCTTTTTCAAACACAGGAACTTTGTATAGGAGAAGGTCTGGAACTGGTTTAATTTTAAGACCAATCATAGCAAAACTGAAGCAATGCTATGTAGTGACCGCAAAGGGAAGGGTGACTGCAGAAGACACTTGTGAACATGAGAACTCAAAAAGTACTTCATAGATCATTATGCATAGATTTTTTTTTTTTATTATTATGTGGATGCAGACCTACACCTGATTCCATTTTGGGATAAATTGCACCAAAACTGAAGCAGTGTCACTTAAAGTACTTTTTCCTCTGCCACTAAGAACAGCACCATACTAGAGTCATATCCGCACTGCGACGGCCCTGCTTACTAGCTGGGCTGAAAGTGCGACCAAAACGAGCTGGCTTCACCACCATCTCATGCATGCACATACTAATGTTCTGCATGTGGATTATGTGAAGGAAAAAAACTATATTCTAAATATTATTCGTTACTCGTAGTGTTGCACATGGCTGCATTCCTGAAAACTGGGAACTTGAAAATTTCCTACCTCCTACCACAAAACAGCTAAACGGAATGGATGCATAATGTAAATTTACACAAGCAAATGCTAATTCTGCTAGCGTTTCATGCTTGCATAACACGACGAGTCTCACAGATGTGCTAGAAAAATAGGGAATTAACACGTAGTAAATCATGATTTACAAAGCGTGAACGGTAAATAAGCGCCTCTTCGGTTTTATGTCACTGTGCTCCAGATTCGGCAACGCCTTTACCGAGCCGACCCGAACAGGAACAGGCCGCACCCGCACTGCAACTAGTCTCTCTCTGTGGTACGGCTCAACCACAGCTCAGGTCCTGTATGCCAACAGAAAAATGCCATTAGTGGTGGCACCTGAATGGACAGTTAGATGCAGATCTGGTGAATGTGATTGCATTAAGACAAGTCACACAAAGCTGGCCTTTTATTAAAGATCTTTGGTGATGTTGGGAGAGTGTATAGGGGGGCTAGAGGGGAATGTGTGTGTGTGTGTGTGTGTGTGTGTGTGTGCTATCCAGGGAATACGTGTAAGACTGAGGGTGTGCTACCCGATGGTGAGGTATTCAGCAGTGTCCTGTGTTGTAGAGAAATCCATGTTTAAGGTGGAGAACACAACGGGTGGAGAAATGGTGCTGAAGGGAAGCTGTTGTCTTTCTTCTGGGTTTCCTGTTGCCCAGGTGGAGCTGCTGTGAGGCCGGGCGGGTTATGATTCTGTCCTGTGATCAGGAGGTTGTCGGGTTCAAATCCCAAGGTCAGCAGAGTGATTTCACTGTTGGGTCTTTGAAAGATGTTCTAAACTTCAGTTGCTCCAAGCACTAACTAACCCTGGTTTTTCAGGTGTACATCACTTTGGGTAAAAATGTCTGTTTCCATCCATCCATTTTCTGTAACCGCTTTCCTATTCAGGGTCGCGGGGGGTTTGGAGCCCATCCCGGAGGCTATGGGCACTAGGTGGGGAATAACCCAGGATGGGGTGACAACCCAACACAGGACATACTCACACACTTAAGTGTCTGCTTAACTGTTAAAAAATGTTTGCCAGTAGCTCACCCAAAGTTCAGAAGCATCACATACGCTACAGACCTCCATTTGGGTGGTGTTACCAAAGCACCGCAACCCCATAGGGTGTCATTTAGTACCACCAGAGTTGGGTAATTCAGGGCCAGAGAGTAAAAATCCAGACCGGGATTTTGTTTCAACCAACCAGTTGAGCATAAAGATTCACAGTCACAGACTATTCAACTGGTTGGTTGAAATAAAATCCCGGTCTGGACTTTTCCTCTCTGAACCTGAATTACCCAACTCTGAGTACCACAAGCTCAGTCGATCCACCTTCCAGTGCCACCTTAAAGCCTCCCATGTCGAAAGCTTCCTGCTGTGGACAGAAGCCATATAAGGCATGACAGGGTACCAGACATCCACTCTGCTTATCAGTTTGTCTGTTTGCTAACCTTCAATTGGATTGTTGATATTTTTTCCATTAATGTGACGACAGTCTACATTGGCTCTGAGGAAGTGCCCTTAAGAAGTAATCAGTTAAATTAAACCGGGTCAGCATATTTATGTATGAGTATAAAAACCTATTCACAAATTCCAAGTTATTGCATAAATTAATGCCTTCGTAATCAGAAGTTATTGGATTACGGAATCACTGATCTTGCAGGGCACAGCCAGCCAGTGCAGTAATAATATTGCCGGATGATAGGGTTAAAAATGATAAACAAAAATTATGATGAGTTTTGGCTTGAACTGACTTTATCCATAATCAGTTGTGTCCTAATCAGCGAGTGATTATTTCACACCATGATGTGCTGAGAAAATGGCTTGAGCTGCAGTTCAGGTGGGATCCCGTGCGTCTGGCAGCAGAGGGATTAATCCCAAAGTGGCTTTATTCGGCTGCATGACCAGCGTGGTTCGTGTCTGACCCCTTCCCTCTGACACAGGTTCTCCCAATGCACACAGCCTTTCTGCATCATGTGACCTTTACCTCATGACCCTCACCACTGTCCATTTTCCAGGACAACATCAACGTGGACGAGGCGGCTCGGTTCCTGGTGGAGAACATCCTGGCGAGCGTGAAGGGACTTCCCTACGAGGAGAATACTGGGGACCGGGTCCAACTGGACCAGGACATGGCGGTGGCTGAAAGCAAGTCTGGATGCTGCTAGCGGTGACTAGCTGAAGGAGCTACTGGGTCAAGGACTGTGGTCCAGTGCCAGCGATGGAGGGGGGTCTTCAGAGCTTGATCCGGAACAGTCTCTGAAATGTTCCCCAGTCTGTGCTCAGATGACGGAGTCCTCTCCTGGTTCCAACGTCTTCACTACATTTCTCAGACACAATTAGGGTGCATATTATACTATAAATAATTAGTTTAGAGGCATCAGAGAACACTCCTGAGCTCAGATAATGATCAACGCAATCATGTCATGGTTTTAGAACCTGTTCTTCCTCTGAGATTCTCATCAGTTCATTCTGAATGATGGCTAAAAAATTTTATTATAGGGTCTTTTTTTAAATAAAGTCTCCTAAAATAATATATAAAATAATAAAAAAACAGATGAGTTAGGTTTTTTTTTCATTAATTTTTAAACAATATAACTGAGAGAACCCTTTTTAAACACTCTGGGGACTTTTAATTCAAAAATGGAGAAAAATTTGGTAACACTTAACTTGAGGGTGCATAGTAACCTAGTAGCTCAGTTACTACTCAAGTATGAATCATACACAAACTGCATGAAATACCTGAACCGTTATCACTTAACAAACATGGGATCAGTACGTAACTAACACTTACTTTCTGGATATTTAATGCTTTAGATTAGAGTGTGCTACTACTACACGTACGTGCCCCCTCAAGTAGTGTTACCAAAAATGTAAACACAAGTAACTTTTTCATAATGGAAAAATGCATTCCAGTGTTGTAACAGCATTTTTTTGTTGCCAAAACAGGAGACGGTCATGCATCGTGTTGTCATGCATAATGACGTATCAGATGGAACATAGCTTCAGGATGAGGAGGTAGTTTTCATTTGTCTGCATGAAAGTCTGTTGTTAAGCGAAACCTTCTGCAGGAAAAGTGAAGTCATGGAGTGTTTCTCTTATGTTAGTGTTGTGTGTAAGTTTCATCTGTCAGATTTATTTTGGTTAATGGGTGTCTTTGCATAGTGTTTTACAGATCGACAAAGCCTTATTTTCAGTGAAGAATCCTCACTTGTTCTTAAATTCTGTTTTAAAACACAGGCCAGGTAGTACTGAAATGTGTTGAGGGTTTGAAAATGGTATCACCTGTGTGAAACACTCTGGGTGTCAATTCATCAAATTTTTGACCATCCCATGCTGAAATGGCAACTTCCTGTTCAAAGTCAATAAATTCCCCTGCCTGCTTCCTGTCGAAAGGAAGCGAATTATACTCCCCGCATCACTATGGAAACTTCGCAGTGAAGCAGTAGCCCTCATATGCTCTTGCTTTGTGAGCGGTGAGAATCACCACCTTGAAAACTGACCTCTCCACACTCTGATACACACACCTCTCACGGATACTGAATTCACTATGCCTCACCCAGCCTGCATGGTCGGTCAGTGAACCAGTGTGCTGTGAAATGGTCTCATCCTTTCTCTGTGGTGGTGAAGCCGTCGCAGCTCTTCCACAAGCCTCAGTATTCTGTTCACAGTTTGAAATTTCCAGGACATCACACTGCCCTTTTAATTGCTGCTAAATGATTGCTCTCCCTTGATGGACATGCTTATTGTATTTTCTGGTACGAGCCTCCCGCAGTGTGCCAGCATTAGGCTACAAGTTTTGTTTTTGTTCTGAATGTAAGCAGCAATATTAATGCAGTTTTATTATTAATGGTGATGTATGTAAATTCATTCAAACTGAGGGTGATATAAAAACAATGGAAGCTAATTTAAGAGCATCAGTAGTTTCTGAGTTCCTGATATTTGTCAGCAAGGTTTTTCTGAGGATTCCATAGACGAGACAAACTGGTTTGGTCAGTCTCTTTCCTTAATGTGCTTGTACCAGTTTAAGGTGGATCCATTGCGATACATATATATATATATATATACACACACACTTTTCACCTGAATGCAATATATATTAGCTTAGCACAACTCAACAGTTCTAAATTGAAGAGAGAATTCTTGTGTGTTCAGAAGCTACAGCTAGAACCTCATAACATTGGATTGCTTTGTTTGTCCTCCTGAATCGATTATCTCTGTTCTTCATGTTTCGCCTCTGAAATGGAAATTACAAGCTCAGCTCCTCCTCCTTAAGTCACATTCACATTCATGTTATCTGGACGGGCATTTACTTCGTACTCTGCTCCCTTCCTTAATGCCAAAATGATCAGATCGAACGGGCCCATGCTCATGTCATGTGCAAGAATGTGCTAATAAAGTGTTATTGCTTTTTTTTTACTAATTATAATTTGAATTTTGCTTCAAATTAAAGGTACTATTGTCTAATAATGTATTAATAGTCTTTCATATTTATTGGATGGAATTTTCCTGTAAACTTAAAATGTAAATGGTGCTTGATATATCACACTGTAGATTTATGGTTTTATACTTCATTGTTTTATAACATTTCCTTTAATGGTGGATCCATGCAATTCTAAACTTGGAATGCTGTAGTAGATTTAGTGACTTCAAATTAGTAACTTGTAATTTGGAATGTCTGTTCTGCATACTGTTACTAAATTCTATGCAGTAAATTTGATTTCTTCAAGTTGTTTTGTTCTGCAATGTATATTTATCAGAAGAGTCTCTCTGCACTTTTGTTAAAATGGGGTGTTTCTGATGGCTGGCGAGCAGAACATCAGCATATTCTAGTTGCTCAGGCACAGAGCAGTGCGTTTATACAGCTGTGATACTGAGATACCAGTCTCCAGCTAGCTGCAGCCACCTTTGAAATCTGAACTGGCAACCATCTTTAACTACTATGCTAGTTGACTTTTTCAATCTTTGGTAACGCTGTGCTTATTCTGCAACTCCCTGCCTGTGGTTTTACAAGGTTTAGGCCTTGGAACTTATGATTGAAAGTTTGCACCATCCTGTGGCCAGCAAAGTGATTCTCTCTCTGTTGGGCCCTTAACCCCAAAACGTGCCAGAACAATGGCTTGACCCTGAGCTCTGACCCCAAGTTTTTTTCTGCATGCTTCATATACAGAGAATATTTAACTGTACCTGTACGAATGACAAAGATATTTGCACAAATGACAAAAGTATAATCATCGTGAATGAGTAAAAGTGAAATCTCTTTTCATACATGCCCACAAAAAAGCAGTCCATCTTTATTTTTTTTAATGAGCGACCAGCTGTTTCAATAATTACAAATTCCTCTAGTACTCATTATCATTTACAGGGATTGCTTGGATCGCACATGTGGGAAGTCCACGCCAGCGTGGCGAGAACATGTAAGCGTCATACACGCAGAGCTGGGACCCACCAGCAGAACCACATTTTGGTGGTTTTGGTGCCCCATGCAGATGCAGCTCTGATGTGATCTTCACATAGCCTGTCCCGGCTGCTGCACCTCCAGGCATGGAATCCATGAGCTCTCATTCCGGGACCCAGTGCTCGTCCACACATTTGTTCCTTTGTTGAAACCGGAGTTCCAAACATTTTTGAGAAGCTTCTACAGACACAAACACACACAAACCATGGGCTTGTTTTACTCATAAATGCCTCAACGGTCCATTTCACCATGTCCCTGAGCGCGAGGCCTAAGCAAACCCCCCCGCCCCTCAATCAAACTCATGATGCCTTGCGGGTGAAAAGAAAAATCCAGAATGTATGACGTCCATCATGTCACAGAGGGTAATGTGGAAGAGTGTAACAGTCAGCTGCTCCTTTATCACCAAGCAGCTCTTAAAAACTAAAAGCATGATGCTTTGGTCATGGGGGGGGGGGGGGGCATTGAGAGGTACAGACAGAGAGATCGCATCTCTGATTGCATATCATGGCCTGTAGACTTTAAACAAAACCTTGGTTCATACAGTACATGTTTTATTGCTCTGCTTCCTGTTAGCTTCCTGTGTCATACTGTAATTAACAAAATTATCTTTTTCTTATTATTATTGGTATAAAGAATTTTATCCATTCTAATAAGCGAGGAAGCATTATTTAGTAAAATATGGTAGTTTTCTCGGTAACACTGACACCTCCAAAGCTGAAATCATGCTTTATTTGCCCAAGTACATTGGAACGCTATTTTTGCATATGCCAACTTGGTCTGCTTTGAGAGATACACACATACGCTGATCAGCCATAACATTAAAACCACTTGCAGGTGAAATTAACATTGATTGTCTTGTTGCAATGGCACCTATCAAAGATGCCAGTGAACAGTCCAGTCGATGTGTTGGATGCAGTAAACGTGGACAGGTGTAAGCATATGAGAGACTCTGACAGGGGCCATACTGTGATAGCTAGTTGACTGGGTCAGAGCATCTCCGAAGCGACAGGTCTTGTGGGGTATTCTGGGAGCAATGGAAGAGTGACCTGGTCTGATGAGTCACATCCTGTTACATCACATGGAGGGCTGGGTGCACGTGTGCCGTTTAGCTGGGTAAGAGATGGAACTGGGATGGAATATGGGAAGAAGGCAAACCGAGAGTGTTCTGCTGGGAAACCTTGGGACCTGGCGTTCATGTGGATGTTACTTTGACACACACAGTATCACCTACCTAAACATTCTTGCAGATTAAATACACCCCTTCATGGCAATGGTATTCCCTGATAGCAGTGACCTCTTTCAGTCGGATAATGCGCCCTGCTACACTATAAAAACTGTTCAGAATGGTTTGAGGAACGTGACAAAGAGTTCGAGGTGTTGATTCCAGATTCCCCAGATCTCAATTTGATCGGGCTCTTGTGGGATTTGCTGTACAAACAGGTCCAATCAATGGAGCCCCACCTCACACCTTACAGGACTTAAAGGATCTGCTGCTAACGTCTTGCTGCCAGATACCACAGGACACCTTCAGAAGTCCATAGATCAACAGGTCAGAACTATTTTGTTGGCACAAGGGGGACCTATACAATATTAGGCAGGTGGTGTTAATGTTATGGCTGATGGATGTATATACAGGTGAAAGCAAAGCTTTGGGTCAGAGCGCAGGGTTAGCTATTTATGTGGCACCCCTGGGGGGGGGGGTCAAAGACCTTGCAGAAAGGCTCAACAGACACATGACTATTCTGGCAAGTATGATATTCAGACTGGCAACCTTCCGATCACACCTTCAGAGGTCTAACCCACTCGCATGTTGGATTCTTGCCCTAACTCTGTGTCTGGAGTTTGCATGTCCCGTCAGTGTTTGGCTTTTGTTTCCAGGTACTTCAGTTTTATCTCTTAGTCCCTGAACGCGCAGTTAATAACCGGCATCTCCATATGCTCATAGTATGTTCTCGTGTGTGTGTCTGTTTTGCTATGAACTGGCATCAGCTGCAGGTCACCTGCTCTGTTCCCAGGCTTCCTGGGACCGGCCTCAGGCAGACTTTCACCCCGCACTGGATAATGGGTATGAAAGATGGATGGAGGACATATGTTTTCTCTAATGAGACGAAGATATAGAATGACGGAGAAGTGCATTTAGTATGCGAGATGTCAGGTGACTGTGAATAAGCCAGTAAGTATTAAAAGGTCAATTTATTTTTGTTTTGATTAAATAAAGGATCCCAAAAGAATTATTTACAGCACAAAAAGCTTAAGAACTATGTGGATCTTGTGTTATACTTTGCTGTTTTCCGTTTGGCCTTGTCACATAAACTATTCACAATTTTTTTTATTGGAAACCATTCAGTTTTCTTCACAAAAGCACAGTAAGTTATCGGCAAGTTAAATGTAATCATTCACTATAGGTACAGGGGATTTTAGTGGTATTTGAACCTTATTTTTCATCAGTCAAGGTCTTCCTAAAACCCCATCACAATGACATTCATAATGCATGATTACTTCTCAGAACAGCACTTTGATGAAAGAGGAATAATGCTATGGCCTTATAGCTTTCATCTGGGCACACAGTATTTTCAGCGTATTTCCTTATTTCATGAATCATACTTAATTGAATATTTGTCACTACAATTTGGGAAACTGAACTGACACGTGACCCTCCGATTGACGACCCTCGAAAATCCGCGCCTCCTCCACACACTGCGGATCGCCTGAATGTAAATAAATAACCGTAGAACTTAGATTATATCACGTACTCATTTTTTATTTAACTGTCAAAGGATAATAATTTGTAACTAATAACTGATGCATTAGAATATTTAAAGTGCGCTGTTTACGTTTCGATAGATGGAAGTATTTCTTGTCATACCATAAGACCTCAACATTTGGTTTAACGTTCTTCGCATCATGTGATGGATCAGCCTACTTTCAGGCTACAGGACAGGAGGTGCTAAACATTTAAAATGACTTTACGTTTTATTGTTTTTAAATCGCAAAAGGCGAAATAGACCTCGTGTCGATCATCTGACCCAAAGGCGGACAGATAATTAACCCAACACAAGATGCCAGTGACGGTTCACTGGGGGGAGCGGAGACTGGGGTCAGACTGGGGGAGCAGATGCATTTGACCTTAATGTCCTCCAAGTATTACTTACACTAGATTGCCAGCATTAAGAAGCAAAAGACACTTTTGCAACCCGATACGTTATTTATGCGATGCTTGCAGCCACGTTACAGTTTTTACAAATATGTAACTCACTCTGATCGCTTGCTTAGACTGTCTTGCTTCCACAAGCTTCTTTATTTTCTTCTGTCGTTAACTTAGCTTTTCACCAGCTGAAGTCCCCGCGAGACGCCCAGCCTCTCCCAGCTGACCCGGCACGCGTCCGGCGGCGGGACCCAGCAAGCTCCAGCCGAGCGTTTGATGCCGTTGCTTAGCAACGAGGGAAACTTCGCTGTTTTCGGGAGGCTGTCGGGTCGAGTTCGAGCGACCGCCAAGGTCATTTTTAATATTGCGGAGTATATGTCTTATAACTTTTAGCGTATTTAAACAATGTCGAGAGCAGCTGCAAAGAAAAGAGAGAACTCTTCCAGTCGAGTGGCTTCATCCCAAGGCCTGGCGTCGTTTAAAGAGTAAGCGAGACCCGCAGGTGCCTGCCTGGTTACCCGAGAAAATAGCGGATCATGTGTCCTCTGTGAACGGGTTGTGGAAACTAGTTTACTGCGGGTTACTTAGACTACACCAAAGGAACAGTCAGTTAAGAGCCGTCATTATTACGGGAGCTGTTTTACAGTTGGAGTAAACTGAGACAGAATAGACTGTTCGTAACATGCCAGCTGAGCTTTGACTGTATAGATAAACATATGTATGATAAATGTGCACATAAATACCACCTCACCTCATCGCCAGGTGTGTCTCATCTGAAAAATAAATGTTGAACTGGTAGCCAGTAGGATAGATATGGATGCAAGTTAGGTGGGGCTTCAGCGATTTAATGAGACTTGCTGTCGGGGTGGCCAACTTAGGTCATCTGGCTGGAGTGAGATTTTAAATTCGAAACAGGTCTGCACATGTATGTAACATTTTATTACCATGTAAATAGTCTGTAGGGTTTGCAAACTACCCCACTGCTTTTGATGTAGCTAATTTTTGGTTTATAATGGAATAATATAGATACGCCGTAAGATTTTTTTGCATGAGTGCTTTGAATTTAGTGCTGCATTGTGCCCTTCTTTAAAAAGAAAGTTAAACTTATAGTTTTCAGTTTCAGTCACATAAAACATTATGCATCAAACTGTCAGCTATCTATAATGGAATAAAAACCCACGCAGAACATATACCTTCATTTTTCACCATAGACTCCCAGTGTTTTATTTTCTGAATCTGATTTGCTCTGGCTAACAGAGCATCGTCTCTGCTGGCCAGCGCCTCCGAGGGATCAGGGGAGCCCCGGAAGGGTCGGTGTTCGGTCTGGCCCGAGTGGAATGACGCCGAGATCAATTCGGAGAAGTGGGATAGTACCAAGGGCTCCAGAGATGGAAAGGCAGGGAAAAGTCTGTCTCTGGCGAGTAACAAGCCTCCACCTAAACTGGATGAAAGCTCAACAATGCATAACGTCTTCTTTTTGTAAAATCTTCCATGAATGTAGATTACAGGAAAGTAACATATGCAGTCTTTTCTCTTGCGCTCTGCTTTTGTTTGTGCTTTCATGGCTGAAACCGCCCTGCGTGGTTCTGCTTATAGACAAACATGGGAAAAAAGTGATGAAGTTTATAAACAGCCCACCCCGCCCACTGCCTAGTTGCCCTAGTGGGTGAGCAGATGTGTCTAAAACAAGCCAGTGCTCCGCAGCAGCCGTGACACTGAATGTTTACCTCGCAGCCTGTCTTCGAGGACCCAGAGGGGAAGATCGAGCTGCCCGGGTCCCTGAGGGTCTGCTCCTGGAGCCGCCCGCTCGACTTCATTGCCCCCAAGGTGGAGTCATTAAACAGGCGTCTCAAAACGAAGTCTGTGGGGCAGCTCTGAATTTAGGGCTACATTGCACCTCAGTGATTATATCTGTGGCCTCACACCCCCAGGCTTGGGGGGTAGAATCACATCTTCACTCTGTGCGTGGAGTTTGCATGTTCTCTCCGTGTTATGTGGGTTTTCTTCCTGTACCCTGTTTTCATCCAACAATCCATCCACGATATTGTAGCTAGGCTAATTGCTGTCTCCATGTCAGTGTTTCCCAACCCGGTCCTTAGGGATTCCCCGACAGTCTACGTTAGCTACGAGTTATTTGTGTGTATGTGCAGTCCCATCCAGGGTATACTCCGTGTGTACGTGCAGTCCCATCCAGGGTATACTCCGTGTGTACGTGCAGTCCCATCCAGGGTATACTCCGTGTGTATGTGCAGTCCCATCCAGGGTATACTCCGTGTGTATGTGCAGTCCCATCCAGGGTATACTCCAGCCTTGTGCCTTATGCAGCCTTGGATAGGCCCATTACCCCCCCCCACCCCCACTCTGACCATACTAAGCAGTTGAAAAATGGATGCTACTTAATTTCTTAAATATGTGGGTAGGCCTGTTAAAATTGACAGATGCAGGACTTAAAGTGTGAGACGCAGATATATACTGTAAAAATACGTCACATTTGTTTTTGAAAATGTTTAATCTCTTTCATTCCAGCCACCTGTTGTGGTGGAGAATGAATCCACCTTTGACATCACGTCCGCCAATGAGCATTTACTGTGCAGCGAGGTGAGCTCCGCCTCCTTAGAATCACACACGGTATAGTTATTCTTCGTCTGGTGCCCTATGGATGTCAGCAGACCTGCTTTAGCTTGTTTTATTAGGCTCTTATGCAGTCAGTTGGTTTAATACCCCAGAGACGCAGCTCTGCTGATGTTACAGTCTGGCTAAGCTCAACAATGTGTCCATTTGTGCATGATGACTGCAGTTAGCGTCGCTGGGCCACAATGCACAATAATTTCATTTGGCCTCAGTAGCCTCTGTCTTAATTTCGTTCCCTCATCTTGCCGTGTCAAACTTTGCTGGACTTTGACGTGTTTTTCCTCAAAGCTCATAAGGCGGATAATCAGCGAAATCTACATCGTGTGGAAAGTCTGCAGCAGAGGTGCCAAGGAGGGCGAGTCGGATTCACCGGAGCCCCGTGACCATGCATGGAGCCCGTGGGAACACATCTACTCTCTCTGCAAGGCATCCAAAGGCCACATGCCCCTCTACAACCCCTACGGGAAGTACGTGATTCGGCTCTTTTGGATGGTGAGCCCCGGCCTGTGGTTCTTTTAGCCAAATCCTTCTGCTAAAGCCTGTAATTAATCAGTTGATTTTTTTAGATGTTCACTGCCGTCCCTTACCCTGTTGCAGATAAACGCATTGGACTGTAAGCTAGCATCTTTTAAGAAAGGCAGCTTGTGGAGGTGTTTTCTCTACGGTGCTTTTCTGAGTGGTCGCATGTTGGGTTGTTGGGGGGTTGGTAGAGGAAAGCGCAGCCCCCAAATGTCCAATTTGCACCACAGCGGGCCTGGGTAGTGGGACTTCTAATAAACACCTTAGCGATTGGAACCTTGAGCCCGGTTTGTAGGCTAATAAACTGAGCAGCACGACTGATTATCCGACAGAAGCTTGGCACTGCCGACTGGGGGCCGAGCTTTTTGCCCTGCCTATAATCTAAGGATTACTGGATTGATGCAACAAGGGAGAAGGGTCTTACTTATGAAGGGAAATTCAACGTATGTGCAGAATGCATTAAAATGCACCGTTATCCCCAGATATGTTTAAAATATAGGAGGAATCTAGCTCTACCATTTTAATGTCTGGTAAGCTCAGCTGAAAATCTTCTTTGAACTTCTCCGCAGTTGTAACTCCTTAATTTGCCGTTTTCTCTGACTCTGTCCTAATTTTGTCCCGGCCAATCAGCTCAGTTTTCTGAGCCAATCAGCGCAGCCCTCAGCTCACTGCTCAGTGCCGCCCATATTATCCCATCCATAGCAACACCTCTCTCTTTATACCAATGTTATCTCATTTTACTGGTCAGGCTCCTCTCTGGATTCTTGCTATGATTTCCTCCCGTAGTCTAAAAGCATGTGATTATGTGAACTGGTGTTTATAAAAAGATCTGTGGGTAATTTTTCGGCCCTCGTTGGGAGTCGGTCGCAGGTTCACCTCACCCCAACCCTTTACCAGATAAGTGATTATACAAGATAGATGAAAGAATGCAATTCAGACTTGAGTTGAACACAATTAGCTCCAAAACTAGCGATTATCATGCTCCACTTATTAGAAGAACTAAGTACAGGAGCAGATCTAGGTTGGTCTAACATATATTCAGCCTTTTCACTCTCCATGTACTGTAGTGTTTTCTCTCAATAAACTAAGAAGATTTTGACAGTATATTCTCTAGCTTCCACCAAAGCTGGTTTTAGTGTCACTCTGCTTTTAATCTTGACAGTTTATTAAAGCCTTATCACTTTGAAAAAGGCAGATATATTTAAATTACTCTTGTCAAACTCCTTTTTTTCATAGTATGTCATTAATGATGCATCTTGCATTCTGTCTCCAGGTTTGTTTTTTTTTTTTTTTTTTAAACCAAGAATTTGCTAAGGAGGTTGATTTGTGGTCATGCGCCAAGGAAAGATTGGTGACATGGGTACTTTATAAAACACACCCAAGTGTATCAGCCATGAAGTCAGGATGGCATGTGGTTTATGCAGCGGGTTGCTCAAAGCCATGCATAATAGGACACACCTTCAAACCACACACATTCATTTTTGTCCAGCAGCCAATGTGCTGCCATGAATAGACAGTTATGACGGGCAGTGATTGGGGTTTGCCCACTGCTTCATGAGAAGGGCAGGCATCCACTATAAGTTTATGTATTGCATAGCTCATATACATATGTACAAATTGTTGCACAACAGGTAACATTTGCCTGGAAACATCTATAATTAAGTTAGCTGAACAATACCTGCCTCTGACGATATAAGCTATATATTGCTTAAGTGTAAATTACCAAGAATAAACCCCTATCATGGTAATTTAAATGCAGATAGTATCAACCTCTGCTTCTTCGCCCATTCTGACAACAGAGATAAGCAGAAGCTCCAGATGACTAGGATCAGCCTGTCCCTGTATATGATTCTTCTTGTTACCGCATGCATTTGCCCGTGAGCACAGGAGTCCCCATGGATTTGTGTCACGGGTTCGAGCGGACTCGATTTCCCATTACAGCGTTGACCCGGGCTTCCTGCAGGAGACACCTTGAGGGCAATTTGAGTTGCAGCTGTTTCTCTTGCTTGCAGCGCTGGGTTATGCTACCTGCTGCTAATGGCACTTAGCTCCCGCTAGCAGTCGGAGCTTCTCCGCAGCATGGGCTCTGCTGAGCCGACGCGCAGCTGGAGAGCAGCCCCCCAGAATTAGAACTTGTGCCTTAAAAGCGAGGAGGAGTCGGGGACCTAATGTAGCGAGAGCTCCTACGACATCCAAAATAGAGGGTTGTCGTTTGATGGATGGAAGCCTTGTAGATGGTGCAGCTGCTTCTAGAATATGCCGTGAAATTTTGGCATTGGCATCCATCACTCCTAAGGCCTTCGGGTCAATAAAATGGAGAGGAAGACTGAGGTTGTTTTGCTGTTTTCGGTCTGAATAAGTTGGCTGTTTGTCTTTGCTCCCACAAAACATTTCAGGTTCCGTCACTAACTTGTAACAACTCGATGGTTATAATACACAGCTATTACGGTACTCAGAGTACTGCCAGTGGAGTGCAAAGTCTGCAACTGTGTTATCTGAGAAGCTCGAACTTCTTGCTCATTTGAAATTGGACCAAACCAGAATCTGTAATGTATATACAACATAATGTATTTTAACAAAAGACCTGTTTTTATTAAACCAAAGTTTTAAATGGTTTAAGTGTGTCATTTGAAGAATACGGGAAACTCCTGTGTTAAATCATTCGGCTTATGTATCTGCCGAGTGTAGTTTGAGGATATCTAGTAATTCACAGTTGTTATTCTGTAATGAAAGGGCAAATGGGTCAGCCTGTGAAGGCATCACTGCTCCTTAGGGCTGCTGGAGAAAGATCACCGTGGATGACCTGCTTCCCTTTGATGAGGAGAACAGGCTGCTGCTTCCCGCCAGCACCGTGCATTTCGAGCTGTGGCCGATGCTTCTGGCTAAAGGCATCATCAAGCTGGCGAACACCGAGTGAGTCTGCGGCCCCAGCACAGACCTGTGGGACCAGGGTTTCCGCCGTGTGGAGTTTGCATGTTCTCCCCCGTGTCCTTGTGGGATTTCCTCCAGATATATTCCACAGTCCAAAAACACGCTGAGGTTAATTGAAGTTGCCAGATTACTGTAGGTGTGCATATCTGAGTGAATGGTGTGTGAGTGTGCCCTGCGATGGGTTGGCGCCCCATCCTGGGTTGTTCCCTGCCTTGTGCCCTGCGATGGGTTGGCGCCCCATCCTGGGTTGTTCCCTGCCTTGTGCCCTGCGATGGGTTGGCGCCCCATCCTGGGTTGTCCCCTGCCTTGCGGCCTTAGCCTCCGATAGGCTTCAGACCCCCCGTGACCAGAGGTGGAAATTTCAGGGAAGGAAAGGGCTCCTCGTTTCAGGCCTATGTCACTGTGTACACATCACAGTAAACCTCCTGCATTTGGGTTTTTTGAAGATGGTTTCCTTCTAAATCGCTTACCAGTCAGCACATAGTACAGTAATCCATGCATTAGACCACAGACCGAGCTCAAAAATTTGTGTATGTGGCCCATAGGTTATTTTAAAGTTTTTTTTGTGGGGTTTGAGGTGAAAGAATACATTATGGTATTACACTGTAAAAAATTCAACGTGGCTGTTTTAAAATGGATTATTCCCTCTTGGTCCTATCCATAGCCAAAACTAGAGATGCTAGAAATAGACACAGTTAAATACAATATAGGCAGTAAAATGATAAACTAATGAAACTGGTTTGATTAAATTGTCTTCACTTATTCACATGGAGAGCAGCTGGCCATAGACATATGTGTTGCCGTAAACCACAGACACCGAATGCTGACGGATTATGAAACACAAACCTGTTTAGATATCTCTCAGGATGCATTTAGACAGGCTAAAGGGCCATGCATTTAATTCTGTCTTTCATGGCTGGCTTGTATGTCAGTACCCAGCATTCCGTACGGCAGCCTGGGAATCGGGAGAGAAATGTGAATGTTAAACCAGTGCATGCAGCAGGTGTATGTTAGGTGCGATGGGACCCCCTGCAGGTCCGACCAGGAGGTCAAAGTTCAACGGTGTATGCTGGCTGTCCCCACTAGCAAGGTGAGAGGGTGCCTTAACTTGGACCAACAGCTAAATAGTCAGCGTTACGCTTGGATGAAGCAGACACTAGTCATTTTGTGCTGTACACTTGACACCATGCTGATATTGATTGTCACAGCTTAGCTGGAGGTCAGTAGCACAGGTGAGAGAGTGCGGGGAGGGTGGGCATTAGGAAGACACCCTAGACCCGCGTGTTTTTGGGATTGCAGGTGCAGAGAGGGAGTGCCTGCCTGGGGGTGCACGAGACCAGCTGGTACAGTGCCTCTGGTTAGTAGGTTGGCTAGGGATGAAGAATTCGCCATTTATCGTTTAGTGATCCTAGGAGGATTTGCTGGTCTTTTCTCTTTTCTCATTTATACGTCACTTAGCAAAAAAGTGTCTGTTAAATAAATAAATATGAAATCCACCCATCCATCCATTTTCTATCCACTTATACTGGTCAAGGTCGGGGGAATAAATGCAAATGATGAATGTAGAAATATAATGTTATCATGTGAAGGTGCTTATGTAGAGTGGAGATCCTTGGAAACATTTCATGGAGTGTCTGATCTTGAATGGTGATCAGAGGTGGTTCATGGGGTCATTCTGGGCAAAAAGGGTACATAGTCGGCTCAATCTAGAGAAAAAGCAAAGAGATGCCTGTCTATATTACTGTATTGCTTAGGGGGCTGGTCTATTTTTTTTAAAAGCCTGGGAGAATACTTCAGGTGACAGCAAAAAAAATCAAGCACGGAAGAAATAAATGCGAGGTTGAGTGAGATGGTCACGTCTATATGGAGTGTCAACAGGATGTGCAGTAGGACGTCTAGAGATTTCTGCACTGCAGGAGAACGTGGAGTCAAAGGAGATCAGTCACTAAACCTGCCTGCAAAGGAAGCAGCCATCTTTTGGAAATAAGGTGTAGGACGTCTACAGCAGGCTGGAGGTGAGGGAGGGGCAGCGGAACAGTGGCGGTGCTGAAGACTTTCCAGCTGCGTCAGGTCATTCTGAATGTCACAATAGCAGAGGCTGAGTGGAAACCAGGAAGTTTCTCCCAGTACCCAAATGGGCCTGGTCCTAAGTGCACCATGTCTACATCACGTTTCCATGGTTCAGAAGGAAATAACGAGAAATCGTACTTTTATAGTAGCGTGCTGCTGAACTATGGGTTGAGTGCCACTATGACTCAGTGGAATTTGGTGAGCTGACTGCGGGCCAGAAGGCCTGCTTAGATTAACCGCAATGAGCTACGTTCCATTAACTCGCGGTGCATGTGGAGAGCAGGCCTCAGTCTGCTGCAGGCAGGCCCAAGCTGTGAACGAAGGGGAGGCGGGACGTGTGCAAGGCTGTAGATCAAGTGCAGTGTGGCCGTCAGCATGCAGGATCACAGTGGCAAGTTAGGGTGCTGCTCTTGTCTTTTTAATGTCTTTTGTGCAGTTTCATTTGTATATGATACATATGTAGATTGTTATTTTTATTACCACATTTACATATGAGCCAAAATTTACAAAAAGTTGTTTACTGTTAATTCAATTCTCTTTTTTTGTGTATCCTTTTCTCGAGTGCCGTGTCGTCCTGGTTTTGCTCTCCAGGAGCACATTAGGTGGCATTTCATTAAAGCACGGTTCCGGTGCATGTCCGCTGTGACCTTTCCCAGAGTGGGCCCAGGCCAGGCCCGGGAGATGGCCGACTTCAGCACCGTGCACGCGCTCACCGGCTGGCTCCCCGAGGTCATCCCGCTGCAGTGAGCCTCCTCGCCACTCGTCTCTGCTTCTTGGGAATGCTTTGCCATCGTCCATACCATAGGGGATGGGGATTCTGTGGGGGGGGCGGGGGGTGCCATGGAAAACAGTGGTACAGAGAGATTATAGTATATAGAGGTTATTTATATGTATATTAATTAAATCACTGGAGGTCTTAGTTTATCCCTGGAACAACTGAGAAGCCTGCATTTGCCTCTCTGACATATTTTGTTTAGCGGTTACCTGTTACCAATATGGTGACAGTCTGTCCTTGTCACCGCACTTGACCAAATGTGAATATGACCTTACAGGACTGGGTACCTCAGTAAATTGTGGGAATTCCTGACGGAGAGCGTCCCGAAGTTTCAGCAGGCAGAGCGGCCAGAGGAGGCCCCATCGCCGAAGGAGGCGGCTGGGAGGCGGAGCTCCACGCAGAGTGAGCGCCAGAGCCAGTCGCCGACGGAAAACAGAGGCTCAGACGCAACGGGAGGTGGGTGACTGGACCACATGGCGTGTGTGCAGCTGTGATACGTGACGTCTCAGCATCAGGCCCGTAAACCATCATGTGCTCTGCTCAGCATTTCCCAGTTTTACACTAATGCAGTATATTTCCTGTTAACTTGAAGCTGGTGTATGGTTCGGAAGATTTGTTTATCTTTCTGTTAATTTATTGTGATGACTGGTCATTCAGACAAAACAGCTATGTTTGTTATTTATTTGGCCAATTTTTTTATGTAATAAAAGTTGAAATACTAGAACTTGTGGCCATAGGTGGAAATTAGCGGGAGAACATTTTAAAATGAATTTGAGAAAACACTTCTTTACACAGCGTGTAGTTAGAGTGTGGAATAGTCTTCCTGCTAGTGTAGCGGAAGGTAAAACCCTGGGTTCCTTTAAATCAGAGCTAGATAAGATTTTAACAATTCTGAGCTATTAGTTGAGTTCTTCCCAAATGAGCTTGATGAGCCGAATGGCCTCCTCTCCTTTGTAAATTTCTTATGTTCTTATAATAAAATCTACAAAAACAGGATTATTTTCTAGATTGCACTGACCTGATTGTCCGCGGTTTATCAAACCGTAGTATTAAACTATTTACAGTATTTCATTCATTAAAAATAATATCGATATCAGATATGCATCATATTTTCCATTGAATCACCTTGGATACACCTTGCATAGCCTGTCACTGCCAGATGCACCAGTGAGCCCCATGACAGGCCGAACTGGTCTGGCCTGCAACGGTGTACTCAGATCTTTAGGCCCATAGTCCACCTGCTTGTGTTCCAGGCGTTGGCAGTATGGCCTGGTCATTAACTCCTGGGTGTCTTTAGTCCTCGTTAATGTCTCCTTCCTCAAGGATGGACTCAGCCAAAGGCTCCCCTGCCTCGGCGTTAATGACAGTTACGTGCCAGCTGTACCGCCGAAGACCGTAGATAAAAATGATGACTGACGGGGAAAAGGCAAGCTTTGTGGGTTAAGGAGAGAAAGCCGGTCCATGCTGGCTAGTCCGTCAGAACCAGGGGAAAAGGCAAAGGACGGTGAAGCACGTGAACGTGCGTACGTTCAGGCAGATCTCTGCAGAGATCAAATATAGCTGTTTGATTTTATATGTATAAAAATGCCTCATTATTACACATGTTATATGTATTATTAATTCTCATCTCACATAGTATAGGATCAGAAACCATTCTGTGTTTAGAGTGCAGGGGGGTTGAGGTTCACCTGGGGGGGTTGAGGTACACCTGTCTCGCATGCAGCAGGAGTGTCTTTGCACCCTGCAGGGGTGTCATCTCACAGTCCATCTGGAGAGAGATGTCACCCTTCAGACCTCATGCCTGAGTTCCGGTGTAATGATGGGGCAGCCCTCCGACTGCCTCCCCTGCATGAAGTGAGTCCGTGGTGCTCGCTGAGGAGAGCACAGGCCACCTAAGCCATCAGCTCAGTCTGCTGTGTAGAAGAGCTATAGCCGCTCCTTTAATGAAAGGCCTGAGAAATGTGACAGGCGTAGTGGACTGAGGCGTGAGAAAAATCCAGATTATTATGAAATATAATTTAATTTGGAGTGATATGACTTATTATATAAAATTGGCTTAGAATTCCATAAGCCTTGAATAAAAATCAACCGCCATGGTTAACAATGATTAAAAAATAAAATCTTAAAAATTGATTTGAGACTAATATAAGAGTCCTTTTTTATAACACTGCCTTAATCTAATTTGTTACAATTCAGTAACTCAATTTAAGTATGTCATTCAAGGGTACAATCGCACACTCCTGGGATTTGAATGGAAAATGCTTGGTCACACGGCCATTTAATTAATTCCTGTGTTATTTAGTGACATGTTGTTAAGCTAAAGGAAGGGACATTCATGGCCAGAATACCTGTTGTCATGGAAATGAATACTGCCTTCACCAGTTTATTTTATCATAATTGTTTCTAAATTGATTTTGCTTTGCTGTTTTGTCATCATCATCACAGTAAAGCTTAACCAATTAGAGAGATAAGAGAGGACAATATGTACTTTGATTGGGACAATTCTAACAGTTGGGGAAAATAACTGATTTTTTAAAATCCCTGCTGATCTAGGCACCTGACCCTCTGCCTTCTAATAACCTTTTAGCATGCACACAAGCACTAGTGCCGCAGATAGTGATCTGTGCCAGCTACCAGCCGAACTACCTGCTGGAGAAGACTTCAGTATTGGGGCAGATGGTAAGTGTCACGCCCCGCTCCGTCCGATCCTAATGTGTGCCACGCCCACCTCGTTACCTCGTGTTCATCCCTGGTTGTGATCACCTGTGTCCTGTTATGTCTGGCTAGTCTTTTGTATTTAGTCCGTGTCTCAGTTAGTTTCCCCAGATCCGTAATTGTATTGTCTGTAGATGTCCGTGCCTGTCCGTCCCTCCCTTAATAAAACCCCGTTTACCTGACTTCCTGGCTGCTCTCGCCTACTTCCACGGCTCGCCTACCGTCCAAACGTGACAGAATGGCACCTCTTATACAGTATACTCTCTCTTTCTGATGACGTTCTACTTGCAGTCCCTCATGGACTGGCATATCTAACCATCATGGGTTATAGCGTATTGGACCCATTTAGGAAGACTGCTAGTGCTGATATGGCCCCCCCATGTTCATTCACGTAGGCAGCCTCTGTTTAGCTTTCATGTGGTATGACCATTGTAACCTCACAAGGTATCACTCAGTGCGTTGCAAATGTTTTGCCGGCAAGTTTCCAATTAGGATGAGCACTTATTGTCTGCTCCATAATCTATCCCCATCATCTCAGGCAGACTCCTCGGAGAAGCTGAGGCGATATGGTCTGTCTCAGTTACACAGCCACACAGTGCTGGTGACCAGAACGAGAGCCTGTCCCCTTATCGCCCCACCCAAACCTCCACCTGTTCCACGATGGAAACTTGTGCGGCTGAGGAAGCAGATGATGCCAACCGACGAGCCCAAAGGTGACGGGTTTCTGCTCCATCAGCGTCACCGAATGGCAGCCACGCCGCTAATGCCATCTCGCCACAACACGTAACTTGTTTCGTAAGGCTGTGGAAATGCAGGTTTTAAAAAACGTTGCTTATCAGAATGTGATTTCTAAAAATATGTCAAACATTTCGGTGCTTCATCTAGATTAAAGTGGATGTTCATTTTATATCAGAAGTCGGTTGCCAGTGTACATCTGCCGGTCGGACTGGTGTTTCTTCACAGAAATGAGCGACAGCACTTGTAGCGCTCCTCATTGGCATACCTTAAATATGTACCCAGTTTAGAATGCAGTGTTATTTCTGTCATGTGATTTGTTTGGACGCTGCTTGTTTCCACAGAAACGCCCGTTCTGAAACCTGATCAGTTCATTGAGATCTCAAGCCCCTTTCTGAATAGACTAACAGCAATCGGTAATCCAGAGGTGTAAGTACACAGTGTTTGTTTTTTTTATCCGTTGTTGGTAGACTTGTAACCTAAGGCAGTCAGCTCAGGTGTTGGGTGGAGGGTCCTGCTGAAATTCTCCCAGCCAGCTCAGGTGTTGGGTGGAGGGTCCTGCTGAAATTCTCCCAGCTCTTATTCTGACTCTACACTCCTAACCCCACCTCCTCTCCTGCCTAACCCTAAACCGCACCCTAACTCCTAACCCCACCTCCTCTCCTGCCTAACCCTAAACCGCACCC